CAGAACTGTGTCACATGTAGTAATCAGAATGATAAAACATTAAAACATTTCAGTTTTTGTCCGGGTGCCGCAACAGGTCCCTGCAGAAGACTGGAGCGTTGATCCATGCCCATGTTCTCTAGTAGGTTCCGTGGATAATTAGCAGGCTGCCTCTCCCCTCCGTGGCCTCTGCTAATTGTTTGTGTTGTCTAGGAAACCTGAGAACCCTCAGCTTGAAACCAGACCGGCAAAACAGGGCCAAAATCTATTAAAAACAACCTTTTTGTTTGTGACTTATGCGTGAGGATGCAATATCACTTTCCAGTACATTGGTACAGGGGTGCGTTCTGAACAGTGTAAATAAAACATGAGAGATCAGAACGGGCCACAAGCAGAAAGGTCAAACGATCACTTCGTCCAGTAACTGGACACTACAGGTGAGGCGCCGTGGCATCCAGCCCATCTTGGAGGACAATGGTGCATTCTAGAGGAGGCCACGCTTGGCTCTCCTCAAGGTTTAGCGATGCCAGATTGCTTTGGCTTTGGCCTATATTCTGTCCCTTGTGATAGACGAGAGGACAACTTTGATTTCAGAGAGCTTGTTGTTCTTCTCTCTATTACTACATTATATTGCACTGGGTGAAACTATAGTACTATACCATATATAAACTTACCCATAATATGCTTCATTATGTTATTCACTTTAAAAATGTCCAATCAAATTTACGGTACAAGTAAAGTAAAAATGTAGTTAGTAATGTTGTAATGTAATATTACATTGCACATTTTACATAATCAGACTATACTGTTTCATTACTTTTAGATGACTTTTGACCTAACTTGTTCATCACATTGATTTAAAAAGGAAACTATTGTACCATATTGATATAAATAAATACAAAGAGCAATAGAATATATTCAATTCATTGTTATTAACAACATGAAGTGTATTAAACCTTACATAATGTCATGGTTTCTTAAACTGGTGTTCGTAAGGAACTGCAGGGGGTTTGTGAGTTTAATGAAAAGCTAATAATTAAATCATAAAAAATTAAAATTTAATGATTTTAAAATAAAATCAATCAAAATAAAACACTCACTAAAAAGAAATATTGTATTTGTTTGTGTGCATGTCATGTGACCATTAACCAACGTCAGAGAACCATGAACCTGCAAATGATACATAATTATTAAAATAAAATAAAATAAATAAATACATAAAAAAATTACATTTAATGGGTACTTCACGTAAATATATTAGGTGAAAGATGTTCAGATGACAAAAAAAAAAAGTTTAGGAATGTCTGCATTACATGTAAATAAGAAATGTTAAATGAGAATTTGTGCATTTTAAAGCGTATGAAAGATAAAAGACTTCCAAAGACATAGCAGTACATGCTTAAATAGCCTACTGAGTGATAATTCAAATAAAATTGTGTTCATCAGTAGTTGGTGCAATGTGTCAAACATCGGCTACTGTGGAGGAACGAGGAGACACAGGAGTAAACTCAAAACACAGTCTTTAATCTTCTACTTCCAGGAAATACAGGGCAGGCAGGCAGGCAGGCAGGCATACACGCAGCACAAGGACGAACAATACCAGACAAAGAACTTAGAACAAAACACTCCTTAAGAATACAACTCAATCAGGGGAAGATGAGACACACCTGGAAACAAATTGGAAACAATTAGGGAGCAGGAACAGGAAAAACAAATAAGGGCATGGAAACACATGGGGAGCAAAACACACAAAACACAGAACAGAGTCTGACACAATGTTGAAATACTTTTTAAACCTGAAATGATTTTTGTAAATCCAGTGCTCAAATGCTGTGTAGCCACCTGACTAGTGACTGGATTTTGAGTGAATGAAAGAAATATTCAATCCAAGCAGCTGAGTCCTTAACCATCTTCAAGAGACGACTTGCTCTTTTGCTGGTTTGATTGCTTCTATTGTCCTCATTTGTAAGTGCTTTGGATAAAAGCATATGCTAAATGACTAAATGTAAATGTAAATGTAAATCTGAACATACTTTAATATTAATTCTACAGTATATTGTACTATTCTGTACAGTGTACATTTACGTCAGACAAGTTCACTGGTCCAGCTAACACACCCAGCGGGCACCTTGACATCAATTTGATGTCATATATTAGTCAAGACTTGATTAAGATGCTGTAACGTCATTTTAAATTCAGTTTGGACGGCAGCTTCTTCCAGTGGTAACTGGATGAAAATAGGAAGTTACTCCCACACTGAAATTGGTATAATGTATATGTAGGCCAATGTGTTTAACATTCTGTTTACATCAAATCAACGTCATGTCGAGTTTTTGACATCAGTCTGATGTCATTTTAATGTCTTTTCAACATCAATTGCCCACTGGGTAGACTGTAAACTATTGGGCGGTGTTCCTATCTAAAAGGTGGTTGGTGATTTAGATGAAAGGTGGGACTTCCATTTCTATAGCATTCAAATTATTCTAATCATTACCATATCCTCACTCCTATAATGTCCTATTCTATATACTACTGCATGTGCTGTTTTGTTCATTCACGCTTCTAGAGATGTTGTGTTTTGTTTGGCATTTAATTGGTTTATTTCTGCCTGTATTGTCTGAATAATCACAGGCACACTGACACATTGACTGGCTTAAGAAACATTTCACTACAGAATCAAGATATATGAAGCCCAGTTCCACAGCTTAATGGACTAAGGGCCATTCCATAATTAAGGGAGAGCATTCAGTGCTGAATAAATCCAATTCAGATCTCCTTCATACTATTAAACACCACTCTACCATTCACGAAACGCTGCTCCAAATATGGATTGACTCTTAGTGAGCATAAGCATATTTCAACCTGATTCCATTGTTACTTGAGGAGGCTTTGGATCTCTCAGCCTCTAAGTAAGTCTTTGTTGATTATAATACTATTTAAAACCCCTCTCCCAATGAGAGGAAACAAATCCCCTTTAAATACAAGCAAATTAATTACATCTCAATAAAGCTTCCTTTTTATGTCAGGCCTGAGGGCTCATTCAGAGGAAAATTACATTCATATTTGTGCAGGTGAACAAAAATCCCCTGTTGGTTTTGTTTGCAAAGGGTGTGTAAGGAACAGTTAACATCAATTATTGCACACACAGGATTTTCCTTCTAGGTTGTAAGAGGTGTGTGTAAGGCTGAAATTAAAGAGATGTATTCCTTCCTCAGGCTTCCATGTATTTACTGTGAACGATGAGACAGTGAGGCTCTTGTGAAGACACCAAGCCTGAGCAGGCCTCTCCTAGCAACTGCAGCAACAATATCCATTCATTCAGCCGGAGTGGTCTGCTTTGAATATAGCTCAGAAAAGAGCCAGAATCCTCAGGCATTAATTTGTAACTGCAGGCTGTAGAAAAGCTGGGTGATGTGAGGTCCACTTAATAGAAGAGATGTTTTGTGCTCCCAGTGCTGAATCTCCAAACTTTTACATTTGAGTGGTTTCATGCACACTGAGTGTAAATACTGGGGTTAGATATGAAAACTGTTTGACTTGAAAGCAGTGATTATGTGGAGATATGGGAAAGCACCTTTAAATTGTGTTGCTAATAGAAATTTTCAAATCAAAACTCAATGCATTTATACTATTGTTCATGCAAAAATTAAAATTTTGTCATCATTTACTCACCCTTATGTTGTTCAAACCCACAAGACTTATGTTTATCTTTGAAACACAATGAAGATATTTCAATGAAATAATATCTGTCCCTCCACTGAAAGAACAGATTTAATTTAGGCTTTTATTTACAAATAAACATTGATCAACATATAGACTTAGAGAGTGTCTCTTCAGAAAATGTGGAATAACTGTTAAATTCACTTTACAATTTTTTTTTACAATGTCTTTTATCAATTTTTCGAAGCATCAAAATTTTGGTGGAATGGATTTTTTTAATTGGAGGGGCAGAAATGTTATATAAAATGTCTTAATTTGTGTTTGACGATCAAAGGTCTTTTGGGTTGGGTAATTTTTGAGTGAACTGTCCCTTTGAAAATGGTTTTAAAAGATGTTAATCGGTTTTATGGAATGATACAACAGGAGAACCTTGCTAAGTTTTAAGGGGTCATATGATGTTGCTAAAAATAACATGATTTTGTGTATTTGGTGTAATGAAATGTGTTTATGCAGTTTAAGGTTAAAAAAACACATTATTTTCCACATACTGTACATTATTGTTTCTCCTCTATGCCCCGCCTTTCTGAAACGCGTCGATTTTTACAAAGCTCATCGGTCTGAAAAGCAAAGTGTGCTGTGATTGGCCAGCTATCCAGTGCATTATGATTGGCCGAATACCTCAAGCGTGTGACGGAAATGTTACGCCCCTTACCATACTGTGATAATGCCCTGTCAGGCCGGAGCGATGATTCAAAAACTATGCACCAAGAGCTTGTAACACTCCAAAGAGAAAGGAAAAATTGAAATCGCATCATATGACCCCTTTAAGATCACTCGGAACACTTGGAAGCTAATATGCTGATCTAAAGAACACAGAAAACTTGATGTATCCCAAAAATGGTTATGTTGTAAGGGATGAGTCAACAGTGTAATTATAAATGTAATTACAGAAATTAATTACAGTTGTAACTACATGCAGGTATTTGTTTTTAAGTACATTGTGCCAGGTGATTAATTTAAATGTAAGTATATAGTAGTTAACAAGGAAGAAGTTTCTTTGCTCACCCTAAGATTCTGCCTTCATTTTATAGAGCATAGAATGCTTCTCCTTGCAAGCATTGCACAGCAAGAAATGGAACAGCTGGCTTCATGTTACAGTGACAGAAGCATATTTAATGTGCCTCCACCTTTCCAGCATTCATGACCACTGAAGACTCTCATAATACATCCTAAATCAATTGGAGAAAAGTGCGAGCAGACTGAGAGTCAGTAATGATGTGATTGATGAGATTGGTGTGAATATTTGTAAGCTGATAAGCCTCTTTTTTTCTCTGTATTCTCTCTGTCTTTCTCTCACACAGCAGAAGGCATACAACATTAAGCAGCAGAGTGTGAAAAACGAAAAGCACCTGAATGGAGGGGGTAAGTCTACACTTACACATCCTTGAGAACAATGAAAGCCGCCCAACAGCCCTGCAGAGGAACAATGCAATGTTGCCAAGGTTCCTTCTGTTCCATCCGAATGTCTTTAACCTTGTTTTTTGACACGTCATGACTGGGTGAAAAAGACTTCCGAAGTTCCTGCCATGCTTCCTGACATAAAATAATGATAAAGGCTTTTAAATTTGTCATGTGCCACTGACCCTAAAAAGACTCAAAATGAAATGTTCATCACTTTAAAAATATTATGTTTTTTAATAGATAATGGCTTAAAGGAATGCAAAGTTTAGTTGTTTGGCAGGAAACATCAAACTTGCTGTATTAATATACAGTAGAGCAGCGATCAAGTCAAATTTACTTGTATAGCGCTTTTCACAATACTAATTGTTTCAAAGCAGCTTTACAGAAAATCATGATTATGTTATAGAATATCTTAATATCATTATGCCTTATAGTTGAATTTAGCAGATTAGAGGTGAGTGATACAATAGTTTGCATTTTGCGATTCAAGCAATCAAGCAGTTGAGATATGCTATATAGTATATATCGCCCTACCTACACAAGTATACTGTATCTATGCAGATATAGTTGGACATACTTATATATCCAACTTTATATAAGAGCTTGGTGATGATATAGTTACATTTTGCAAAAAAAATAAAAAATAAATAAATACTGATTTACTATGTAGTAACACTTTATGATAAATAAATAAACAAATAAATAAATAAATTTTTTAAATAATGTTACACTGCTAATATGAATTAATAATATGTTCATGTCATAGTGTCATTCTTGTCTTATATAACCAACAATTACCCATAGAAGCCCTATTTCCAGAGGAAAAAATAATCATAATAATTCTGCGGAGTAAAGAATGATGAGCCTGACATGATGATCATGTCTAGAGATGTTGTTTTATTGTATACAGTATGTAATCTTTAATGTAGTCATGAACAATGTGTGATTGTAAGATGATTCTCTGTATGTGTACTTATTTTAAATTGCTCAATGTATGAATTTGTGAAGGATGAATGCTTCTTGGTAGTCCAATGGTTAATGTGAGATTTAGCAGTAGAGCAAAAGAGAGGGATTAAGCCCTCCACTAATCCTATCAGACTCCTGAGGAAGAGAGAGTGTGTATGTGAAAAATAAAGTTGGGAGGAGCAGGAGGGGTGTGGCTTTGATGCCCAGTGGTCACATGACTGTTTACACTGTGAGAGAGGAGGCATGTGGGTGAAGAACAGCAGAAACTCAGGAGAAATGGCCCTCACATAAACATGTAGGATATCTTACACACACATACACGCACACACAGGAAACAGCAGAATGGACCAGAGAGTTGAACACAGTTTTTATCCTCCTGAGGGCCAGCCCAGCAGACCCAGAGATGTGCTTGTTAAGTCAGGTAAGACAGAATCAACTGCTCAACTGCGGCTGAGATTACAGGATGCTGATATTATGATGCTGTGTTATGCAGTGAAACTTATTAGAATACCAATGATAAGAACATTTTCACTCTTATAGTAGAATAAGTTAATTTAAATTGTATTTAAACAAGTTCCAGTAGTGCACATTGTATTATTGCAATGTAATAACTTAGTGACAGTGTAGTATTTACAGATGTATAATGTTTTTTGAAAAGAAGTTGCTGTAGCAAATACAAGACAAACTAAGAAGGCAAAATAATGATACAAAAGACACTTAAACAAATCAGTTGAGTGAGAAACAGGGAACCATGCTTGCTCTGGGCATAGTGCCCAACTTGTTACTCATGGTGTTTTGCTCTAAAGTGAGACAACTGACTCCAAAAACTCTTTGGTAGTCATTAGAAAGTCACCATTTGTCATTTACTTTATGCACTTTTGTCGTCTGGTGATAAAGATGTAGCAATTTTAGGTGTCAGTATCATAGGATAAGCAGGATCATCTTTCACAATTTAGTTTTTTGTAATGTTTTACCAGCAGTATCTTGCTGTGTATTTGTTTTAGCCGAAAAGCACAAGGTCCGCAATGTATTTCTGCCTGACCATGATCGACACCAATAAACCCTGCTTTGTGTATTTGAACACAAATTGTGTTATCTTAAATCATCCATCTCTGAATGTCCAGCTTTTAAACAAACACACCTTTCACCAACAAGTCTTGGAAGTCTATTAAGCAGTTTCTTTGTGAATTAAATCTTAAATGTATAGTTACCAAAAATTAATATTCTGTCATATTTTACTTGAAATATATATATATATATATATATATATATTATTGTTATTATTATTCTTTTGTGGAACATAAAAGATCTTCTGGGGGAAAAAAAATGTTTAAGTTGTAAGTGTTCTACAGAATAATGAAATGCATGCAGGACTGGAATGACATAAGAAAAAATATTTTCTTTTTCTTTCTGAATTTTCTTTTTTGAGCAAACTATCCTTTCAAGTCTGTAGTCTTGATTTTCTATTCTATTCTATTCTATTCTATTCATCTAATATGAGTAAAATGACAATAAATAAATAAATAAATAGCTAGCTAGCACAGGAAAAAAATAAAATGATCCTAGTTACACAGAGTTACAAAACTGCATGTTAAAAACTCTTTTTATTGATTCGTCAAGACTACATTTAGTTGCTTGAAATAGGTTATATTGTGTTATTGCCCATAGAGACTGCTGTTTTGCTTCTTGCTGGGCACCTTTATAATGCAAATCCCCTGTCTGAGAGCTGTGTCTAAATGTTATGGCTTGCCAAGGACCAGCATTCAGTGGGGATTATGGGAAATAGCACTTCACTCCACACATACACACACAGTCATGGGAGAATGGGATCCCAGGGCATCCTCTGAGAATGCTGACATCGCCATGACAACTTTCAGCATTCTGTTTGTATACAATCCATTCTGGGAACAAACTTCTTATATAACAGAGGATTTTTGTATAAACAAAAATGGTCTTTGTAATGCTGAATATCTGGTAGTCAATGGGATAATTCAGTGTTGCAGAGGAATCTAAACTGCCCTACCTAATATGAAGTTAGCATGCTTGAGTTTTCCTTTCAAAAAGGTGCCATTATTTATTTATTTATTTATTTGTTTGTTTATGTTTGTTTGTTTTAAACATTAAACACATTTTAATTTTAATTTGGATCATATGAATGTAATTTATCTATGGCAAAGTAATGTTTTTTTTTCTTGTTTTTTTCCGAGGGGGCTTCATAATTCAAGTAAAAATAATAATAAAAAAAGTTCTTAAAGTATAATTTATTTGCCACTTCTTTTGATGTTTTCAAATATATAGCAGTGCAATCCTGATATTTTGAACATGACTTAAGTATCACTTCCTTTTAAGGCAACTGTAACTATAAATATAAATATAAATATACTACATTTTTAGGTCCATTATGCATCAAATTGTCATACTAAAGTGTAGCATTACCATCTGAAACCATCATTGAAGCATAGTTCTGTACTTTCTTGTAAGGGTCATATCTTGTCCCTCAAAGCATATTAGCATACTTTCTATGTATAGGCCTACTGAATCACTGTCGGTTATGTTGAGTATATAAGGAAACACCTGCTGTAGCCCCACACAAACAGACACCAAATGAATCGAATTAAGTACACTGTTTATAATCTGCAATTCTTGGAAATGGGCTCAGATCTGATCGGCAGAAACCCATGACATCCCTGTCTGTGTAACTCCTGGGTTTGTGGGGGATGTTGATAAATACATTATGCCCATAATAGAAGGATATTCACTTTCAGAACAGACACAGTCCACCCTCTGCTGCTCTTCACCATGTTACTGATCTTTAATCAATGAGATCAAGGACAGTCTTCCTGAACGCCAGATTGTGTAGCAATACAAAACGTACTGTGACACTTGTATGTATGTGTATGTGTAAGTACTTTTATCTCATATTGAATTCTATCTGTAAGCTCTGAACTAGCACACAAAATCTATTACACTTCATAACCATGATGCAACACTCTCCCTTCACATAATATTCATGTTGGCTACATGCTCACACAGTTTATTCAGTTAAAAGCAAGCAGACATTGCAACACATTCATTTGCCTTTACTAAAAGAGACTCTGCACACACAAACATTAAATAAACACTTTAACCCTGGTGTCCACATATATTTAGCTCTCATTTTCACAGACACACTTATGATATGAAGACTTGTTTTTAAATGAACATAGTTATTTTGATTGTTTTATTATTATTATTATTGTGTGTGTGTGTGTGTGTGTGTGTGTGTGTGTGTTTGTTAGTTGTTGTTTTTTTTTAGCAAAAAATATATAGATATTTCTATTTGATATTACATTTTATTATTTTATATCTTCAAAGACAATATATAAACTGTCAGACCCGCTTGTTACGACGCAATCTCTGTCCAACCAGTGATCATGGATTCATTATCCTTATAAACAGTTTTCGAACTATACCGTGGACTTTGGGGGAGCCCACTTGTTCATTGTCAATATTTTTTGAGACCCCCCAAAATTTCACAAATCACATTTTCAGGGGAGCCCATGTCTTATTAAGGGGAGCCGAGCTCCCCTGTAGTTCGCACCCTGCTTATAAACATGGTCTGTGGACTGTGACAGATTTCCTTGATCTTTATTTTTCTGATGAATATAGCATTTCCATATGTCAAAATATGTTTTATCTTTCAAAGAGCCACATCAAGGGAAAGGGAAAATAACAATGTTAAGTACAGTTGTATTTCTACCTAGATTTTCCTACAAAGTTCACTGCCACAATGTATTGTGGGTTACTGTGCTGAGCAGCACATTGCTAGGTGGTTTCTTGGGTTAAGCATAAACATAAACAAACATAAACACTGGCTTCCATGTTTTATGGGTTCGTTCCATAGGTGTAATGGTTTTTATATATAATGGTTTTATATTTATATGTATTATATAAGCTTGTTTCTTCATGGGACCCACCCCTCCCCCCCACCCCCC